TAATATTTACAAATAATTGCAAACATACAGATGAACACGCAATTTTTTTTACTATCCCCCATTCCTTTAACCTAACATAGCACGAGTCCTAGTATGAGTTCAGTCAGTTGTTCAGTAATGGCAGTGTAAGTTGGTCTCGGCTTCTGTGGCAATCAGCAGGAAGAGTCACAGTAGAAAGTGAGGTAGGCAGTTTGGTTAGCGGAGGCTAACCAAGTCCAATGCTGTTTAGCTTTCAGTAGCTGGGAGAACTCTTCCTGAAGTGACCGCCGTTTCTCCTGATAGGTCCCTATTGAAGTCTACTGAATTAAAAGACAATCATTAGCTATTATATTGGGTGAGCCAGGAGTCTATTATCATTCACTGCATATCTACTGTATAGCCAGTTGTGCCAATTCTGATACTGTGTGCCCATCTCCATGGGCATTTTCCAGGTCCGTTCCTATAGCTTTCTCAGTTGTGCTCACCAGCAGGAAAGCAGGTTCTTGTTTCCACATGTGGGTCTCAGACTTTCTCACTTGGAGATTTCTGCTGCATAGATTAGGTGAGGTGATTGAAATTCAGACTGGCTTGAACCAAAGTGGTTTCCATTCTTTTAATCAGGAGACAGATTAGCTGTTTAAGAGACTTCAATTGATTGAGGCTATAACTGACTTGGGTGATTTGCAAACTCATAATCTGGTAAATCACCAAGCTTGGGCCTCTGCCCTGTTACTACAGGGCCCAGGAAAATCTCAGGTGGAGGAAATATATACCATAGCTTACTAGAACCAGAAGTGTTTGCCATAATTCCACATATTTCTTTTTCCCTGTTGGTAAAGTGCCTGTGAATAGTTTAATGCCAAAATTCAAAGAGATACTAAAAGAGTGAATTTACAATGTGAGGGATGAAAATGTAATTGAAATGCAATTGAATAATTTAACTTAACCACAGGTAGTTCTTTAGTGTTAGTAGGATTAATTACGTAATCATGCAATGTAAGATGAAGGAGCCCTGGTGGCGCAGTGATTAAAGTGCAGTATTGCACTGACTATAGCCTACAGTTGATCCTGATGGGGCTCAAGGTTGAATCAATCTTTCATCCTTCCAAGGTCAGTAAAATGAGGACCCAGATTGGTGGGGCAATATATAAATAATGCTCTACATTGTAAGCCACCCAGAGAGTGTTGTAAAGCACTATGGGCTGTATAAAAGCCTAAATGCTATTGCTATAAAGCTGCTAGGTTGATTTTTACTGCCCGAAAAAGACAAATCAGGAGAGGTTAGCATCATTGTAGCAATGCATGGAACTCCCATGTGGAGAGCCTTGTCCCAGAAGGCAGGTCCCTATAATGTAATTGGACTATTTGAATTCACCTATACCCTAAGGCAAGACTTGGACTGTCTTATTTGAGCTGCAAAGGCATTTAATACTTTCTTATTTGAGCTGCAAAGGCATTTAATACTTTCCCATTTCTTAATAATTTCCCAGAATGAGATCCTGCAGAGCTGGAAGGGTATATAAGAATGTGTTTGTTTGTTTTTTTTCTTGTTTCAAATAGAGTCTAACTATCCATTGAGGCTCTATTAAATATTGCTGAACCTTGTTTCCACCCTCCCCTTTCAGACTTATCAGAGGACATGTTAAGGACAAAGTTGAAACCCAGTAAACATGCTTTCATGACCCAGTTAGGATTTTTAAAGGTAAAACACACAGGTAAAAGGTAAAAAAAAAAATCACACACCTTAACAATTTTCTCACTGGCCTGCATAGAGTCTACAATGCTGGAATGTTTATTTGTGCAAGGCAGATGATGGGATTACTGACAGAGCCTGAAATGCAAATTTGTCTTGGAGGCAGCACAGCGGATTAGGCAATAACAGCTGAGAAAGCAAAAATGTGCTTTTTTCCTAGGGCTAAGAGAGAATATCATCGAACTGGCTTTCATGGCTAAAGTAAGGCTTGAACCCCCATTCTTTTACTTTCTAGCCTGGTGCCTTAATCACTAAACCAAACTGGCCCTCTTATAAAAGCTTGCTTTTTCCTTGATTCCAAGGAAAAGGAAAACAAATTTAGTATACACATTTTAACAATAACTTCTCACCCCTTGCAATACTAAGGATTCCAAATGCATTATTAATGATAAATCCAGATTAAAATGCAAAAATCACTCTAATGTTGCCATACAATATATGCTAACTTCAAATCTTCTGAACCACACCTTAAACTGACCATAAACTTTTTCTTGCTTCTTACATCCTATTTAGACCAGTCTTTTAATTCCTTCTGAAGCTGGCATTCCTTCCTCAAAATCCCCTTTCTACATACAGTTGCAAAGTATTAACTTCCCTACAAGCAAAGCATATACAATTATGAAAATCAAAGCTGTAAGCATGGCAGCTGTGCTTATCTCTACATGCCACTCATCCCTTACAATGCACTGTACAAATACAAAGATCTTGTGCCCTTCTAACTAATTCTTAATAGTGCAAGTGTCTCCGTTTTTAGCAAAAAGGTTGAAACTGCTTCTCCTTTTGACAAGGAAGCCCTGATTGTTTTTAAGGAGAAAAGAAATGGAAGGTATAAGATTTCCCCACTCCCTTCCCCCCCCACACTGCTTTCCTTCTTCTCTGGATGTATTTGGAACATCTTTAAACTTTAATGATTATTAATTTTAAAATGGAAATATTAAATTAATTATGTCTAGATTGTCTAGCTCAAAACTCAGCATGTGTTAATTAAACCTTTTTTTGAAGGGAGGCACTCCTTTGTGAGCAGAAGGATTTAGGGTGATAACTGGCATATCTCTTGCTAGAGTTGATTGGCCATAACTGCACAGCTGGTGAAGAACCACCTGCCTCCTGTCATAAGCCACAGGCCGCCCCCTCAGGACCTTTTCTAAATGCACACTTTGGTGGCACTTAGCAACCCACACTACTGCAGTTCAGCCAAAGCTTGAGGAGGAGTTCTTGCAAAGTTGGAATTTTATGGAACTTTATGGAGTTTTTTTCCAAGTAAGGCCTCAGCCAGATGGCCCACCAAATCCTCAGTGAAAAACCCAAGCTTCCTCTGACGCCCAAAAAGTCCATCAGGCACTTTGGATGGGCTGATTTAAAGACCCTGTCTCCCTGTGAGGTGGGGTGACACCTAGCAAACCAGAAAGTATCTAGAGAATGATTTCACCATGGCAATGGAATGAATGTGATGTTCTCCAAAACTAGATAAGTCACAACTGCCACAAGACAATGCTATACATTGGGTGTAGTGATTTGGGACAAGTCCATGGTTGCCATGATCGCCATAAACTCCTGGACTACCTTAGACTCATGGCTACCAGATGTGAAGTTGAAATACCAATAAACCAACAGTCTCAGGGTCTCTATTATCAACTCAACAACAGATCCAGAAGCTTAAGCAGACATGATGCCGATCAACAGGAAATATACCAGCAGCAATCAGCAGAGCCTAAATTCAACCAAGGGATCTCACATCCAGTTGGCACCACCGGCCTCCAAATTTGCAATAACTTGCAGATGACAACTGCCAATAGGAGGTTCTTCTTAATTTCCCCATAAAATGTCATCAGAAAAGAGGTAAGAGTAATTATTTTTATTTCCCATAAAAAAGTGTTCTTCACAATCATTGGATTCGTATTCCACATCAGTTTCAAGATTGCCTTTAAAAGTAATAACAATTCCATATGCTTTATTTGAGTATTTACTATCATAGGTCAGCCAATCCAATTCCTAGGCCTTAAAAGGAGCAATTTGTAGGATAGAATATGTGCCATGAAGGAAGAAAAGTGGGAAGATGGAAATGGAGGGACAGGAAGGGGGAATGAAGGAAGGAAGGAAGGAAGGAAGGAAGGAAGGAAGGGGAAAGAAAAAGAAAGAAAGAGAGGCAGAGAGAGAAAGAGGGAGGGAGGGAGAGAGAGAGAGAGAGAGAGAGAGAGAGAGAGAGAGAGAAAGAAAGAAAGAAAGAAAGAAAGAAAGAAAGAAAGAAAGAAAGAAAGAAAGAAAGAAAGAAAGAAAGAAAGAAAGGAGTTGTCACTCATTGTGATCTTGGCTTCTTTCCTTGTCTTAATTATTGAACACAAGTATCCACTGAACGTTTAACGGCTCGTATCAGGGGGAATTGATTCTTATTTTGGAAGATCATAAA